TAGTATAATTGTATACTAATTAAAAAATTTTAAAGAAAAAATTGGGTTTTGATTTTTGATTTTATTTCAATAAATGATATAATAGAATATGAATTTTGGTTATAAAATTTTAAATATTTGATATTCTATCTCTAATTAGAGTATTTTTTTATCTAAGTAGAATATTTTAAACTTGAGAGATTTAAATATATACTTAAAAATTTTGGCGGGTATGAGTATAATTTATTAATCGATAGACTAACGGACATTTTATGGCAGGAGTCTTAAGTGTTACACGTATACTAATCTTAAGTGATCTATATATAATATTTAAAATATCAGGGGTCTAAGTGATTAAATGACAAATTTCAAGGGGTCTCAATATAGCCCCTATACTTTGAGGCGGCAGTGAAATACCCCTCTACTTTTAAAAATTATAAAACAAGAATATCATAATTTAATAAATAAATTAAATAAAAAATAAAATTTCATGCACAAATATGTGAAAATTTATTATATTTTGAACTATATTTTGTCTGAAAATGACAATTATAATTTATAAGGTTAATTGCAAAATCACTCTTGTACTTAAGCACGGAAGTAAATGACTCGACTTAACTTTAAACTTTTGTACTAAAATTCCTTGAACTTATGACCAAATTGTAAAAGTGGATGTCTATCACATAACTCGTAAAAATACCAAAATACTATTACTATTTTATTCAATGTTCATATAAATGTCATCACTTAATCTAAACACCATCTCTACTTCTCCCTCTCCCATTTGGGTATCTTTTTTTTCTCTCCTTCCCTTCTCCCATACCCAAGTCTCTTTCTTTCCTTTCTCTTTGAATTTTTTTCTACTCTTTCCGTCCAATTCTTTTTTTTTTTTTTGAAAAGCTTTCTCCTCCTTTTTATTCCTTCTATATTTATTAATGTGCTTCCTTCATGACTCACTACTCAACTTCCAAGTTGTGTACACATAACCACGCATAACCCATATGTATCTCTATTTAGCTACTACCTCCACCTTCTTAGTTTTGTTTTTTGTTTATAATTCATAATAAAAATCAACACCCTTGAAAATTCCACCCTTTATATATTTAATTGTTTTCAAGAGAGTCTCTTTTTATATAAGTTTATATTTATTTATTGGATGGGGGCATTACTCTCGCTCTCTCCCCTTTCCCCTCTCATCTCATGGTAACCGACAATGATGCTTATACATAGCAAGAGTTTCTCAACAGTGAAGACCAAACAACAAAACACGATCATTTGAATAAGACCAATATTCTATATACATGTATTTCTAAAATTTGGAAGGTTTTCAAATAGGGATACTTTTTGGAGTAATATACGTGTTGCCAACAAGCACCAATGTTTGCGATACAAGACATATGCTGATTACTTAAAGGAGTTGAAGTGAAAATTCTCACATCGTGACCCATGACAAAAATTCTTCCTATCAAATTTGCTAATCCCAAAGCTAAAATATTCACTGAAATACCATACAAACACAAATCAATGACCAATATACATACAAACTTTTGGGACTCAAAGTTAACTGGTAGTTGATAAAACAGTATACGCTCAACAAACTTGTAACACGAAAGACAAAAGCAGTCATTTTTTGGTAACTCCTATGTAACCATTTTTTGGTAATCCATGAGCTCACCTGCAGCAATTATGGGTTCAAACTCCACAAGACGCCCTACTCTGTTCACTTCTATTACCCAATCAATGAAACCCAAAACAACCAAGGATGAGCAATTTAAGATCATAATGATAAACTACATCCAATTAAAATAAAAGATCATTCTAAGGTTCAACCTCCATTAATTTTTTTTGTTGTGTCTGTGGACAAAGCTCTAGAGGTTACATAGGAGTTATATCTACATCTTCAAATATTTGCATTGCAGCAGAATTTGGAGAAAACCCCACGATTTTCTGTTGAGCAAAAAATTGTCTTTTTCAATTACCCTTATACAGATGTTGTCACATCTATACCCAAATGCTACTTGAAATTGACATAGAAAAAGGGAGGATGAGAAGGAGGAGAAAAAGAAAGAGTTAGTAGACGAAGAAAAAGAATGAGAAAGAGGAGGAGAAGAAGAAAGAAGAGAGCGGAGGAAGGAGGAGAAAAAGCAAAAGGAGGGAGGAGAAGGAGAAAAAGAATAAGGAGGAAAAAAGAGAGGAGAAAAAGAAGAAGGAGGACATCTCGATCACCAAACCACCATCACACCATTATCAAATCTATAAGGATATCTTCATTCATTACTCAAAATCAAATTCAAACTTAAATTTGAATAAAAAATGTACAAAAATTATCATTAATCTTTTGACTCAAACTTATATTAAATGAAGGAAAACTTTTTTTTTTACTCAAATTGAGGAAATATCAAATCTTTTACTCGAAATTTTGAGTCAAAATAGACATTCTATAACATCTCTGTTTCGACAATTTCCGGATTTTCTACGCTTTGGAAACTCATTCTCTGTTGTCTGCAAACTTACATAATTGTTTGATTTTGCTTATTCTATACCATCTGTGTTCGACTTCTTTTTCAAGTTATTGAAACCCAACAAATTGACGAGTAAGTCGTCTAAATTTTGACATCAATAGTAATAATTATGATTTTTTTTAAAAAAAATTAAATTTTATTTTAAATTCTATTTCAATAAGTGACACAATAGAACATGAATTTTGATTATAAAATTTAAAATATTTGATATTTTATCTTTAATTAAAATATTTTTAATTTAAGTGTAATATTTTAAACTTGAAGACTCAAGTTTTACTGTTACACACGTTTTTAAATTTTATTAGAAGATATAAGCGTAATTTATTAATGTAACAAATTTAACCGTTACAGTACAAATCTGTTCACTCAGCTCTCTCTCTCTATTTAAAGCCTTCGGTAGTCTCATTAATTGCAAAATCTGTGCATTAATATCTCTCTCTCTCCCTCTCAATTTAAATCCCTTCGGTAGGCTCCTTAATTTCCAAATCTGTGCATTAATCTCCCGCTCCCTCTGTCTCTCTCAACCCTCACCCGAAAACGCTCGCCCAGAGACGGTGTCGCCTAGTTTCCAAATCTATAAGTCTCCACGCTTTCTTTTTCACCGCCTCTCTTCTTTTCTGCAACTCTCTCTCAACCTCCAGCCGAAAACCCCCATCCCATAAACTCTCTCCCCCGAAAACACCCCATCCCATACACTCTCTCTTTCTCCCCTGAAAACACCCCATCCCATACACTCTCTGTTTCTCCCCTGAAAACACCCCACCCATAAACTTTGGCCAAAATCGATTGGATGGGGACTAAATTTGGGAACATTCATGCTTCGGGATCACAATGTTACGAGTTGCAACATATGATGAAGGTTTGTAATGAGTTTGTTCAAAACTTTTCCAAATCTGTAACATGCCATCCAGTGCCTCCAGGTTTGAATTCTTTAATCTGATTCAATCTCTCTCTCTCTCTCTCTCTCTCTCTGTGGCCGACTCTTGTTTTCGCGTTTGAAATATGATTGGAAGTCAAAAACAGAGCATCACCGTGATTCCGACGGAAGGCAAATAGCGGATTTGTGGTTGTCAACGTACATGTATAAATCATTAGATTCATAGAATTTTCGTTACATGATTTTCGCAGATTTCGTTTTTGTTCCCTGTTTCTGATTTATTTTTCTATTTTCACATTGTCTTCATAATTTATCATACTATTATGTTTATAATTCTTTGTTACCCAGTAACTACATAAATCCCTTTATTTTATTTTTTCCTTCTTATTTTCGGAACTCGATATTATTATGAATGATGAACAGCCGTTATATTTTGGAATGAGAAATACTGATTTCAATGGCCGCCAAGAATGTGATTGAAGACTTGAATATGATTACACACACATGGCAAAACTACTGAAACCCTTTAGTTTCTAAAATACAATTATTGTAGTTATTTATGTGTTTTTTCTAGTATTTTTTGGTTTGGCCTTATTGAGTGTCACGGAGGACGATATTGTGTGATTGACTTTCTTTCTTTTGGTTAGAGTTTTTTTCCATGGATTTTCTCTCAATTGCTGTTGATTCTGCCCTATGATGCTTTAGTAATATTGTGGATGTGCTGAAATGGATTGCAGCAATTCCGATTGAATTACTTATGCTCGATTTTTTTTTTTTTTTTAAAACTGCACAGTGTAAATTTTGTAACTACAGTTTGAATTTGGCTACTGAGCTAGTTGTAGAAATTCCAACCTCGAAGGTTTTTTGATATGCAATTCAACAATGTTTTGGTGCTATTTTATGATTTTCCTGTTTGAGCAACGGTCAAACTTGAAAATCTTGTTTAATTGATGATGTTGCATATGCATTGCAACGCAATTTCATTACAGAATTTTAGCCTGTGATTAATCCTGCCGCCCATGTTCTTGTGTCTGGAATTGCAGATTTTGCCCATCAAAATTAAAAGGCTTGGAGGAAGTGTAGCGACATTAGCCAACTGGTTCAGTTCCTGGGTGATTATGATGACTGCACCCTTGCTCTTGTCTTGAAGCAGTGGAGGTTTGCCCCTCTCTCTCTCTCTCTCTCTCTCTATCAGCTGTTGTATAAATGGTTTAGCATTGACTTATTGCTAGTGTTCTTATAAACAGTCTCCCCCCTCCCTTCTCCTCTTTTTTCTTTGCAAAAGAATTAAAAATTCCAGTTCATCCTGGAGGACAATAATTCCATTATGTTTTTTGTTGTGAAACATATTGATTCCAAGTTTATGGCTACCATTATGTTGACTTCTAAAGCCTTCCAATTTGTTACTTTTATATTGTTCTTGATTTCTGTAACTCAGTTTGGGAGTGTTACTAGAAAGTAGAAATTTTAACGCATAAGAGTTATAAAACCTTAAGTGTTTGGGGTTTTGGGTTAAGGTTTAGGGTTTATGGTTACGGGGTTAAGGGTTAAGGATTATGGGTTTAGGGGTTAGGGATTTGGTTGCTGCTTGTTCTTGGTCTGCTGCCTGTCCTTCACTGCAGCACTACTCACGTGGTTGTTATGGCAGCTCTTGGTTTCCTTCAGCTGTCCCCTCCTAGTTCAGCTGGTTTTCAGCTCGATTTTGCTGGTTCCTCAGCTTTTCTGCTGGTGGCTTTTCCCTTTCAGCTGGTTTGCGCTGGGTTTCTCTTTGGACATGCATTGATGGTTTCTGCTGCTACTGGTTTTCTCAGCGGTTCCCTCTTGTTTCTCTATGCTTTGGCTCTGCTGGTTTCAGCTGCACCTTCAGCTGGTTTTAATGTTCTCCAGCTGGACTTTCATCTGATTTTCAGCCAGTTTCTCTGTGGCCTGAGCATGCCAACTGTGGCTTCTCACCTTTGTTGTTGTTAAAGCCTTGCTTCTTTGCTTCTTGTAATCATGGCTTTCATCAATGGTATTTCGTTTCATTCAAAAAGAAAAAAGAAAAAGGGGTTGGGGATTTGGGTTTATTGTTCTTTTCCTTCTTTTGCTCCACCCCCTCATCATTCTTCTCCTATTTTTCTCCTTTATTTTGTTATGTTTTGGATTTTCATTTTTCGTTATTGTTTTCATGTTTTGCACAACCTACAATTGCATAACATTTCTTTAATTATTTGTGCTTTGTTTGTTTTTCTATTAGATTAATTATGTTTTATTTCATTTTTTTGGATTTTTGGTTTATTGTTAGGGGTTAGGGATTAGGGTTTATTGGGAGTAGGATTTGGGATTAGAGATTAGAGATTAGGGATTAGGGATTAGAGATTAGGGATTAGGGATTACGAATTAGGGGTTAGGTATTTGGGTTTATTGTTGTTTTGCTTCTTTTGCTCCACCTCCTCATCATTTTTATCCTATTTTTCTCTTTTATTGCTTTTGTTATGTTTTGGATTTTTATTTTTATGTGCGTAACTAATCTAATGTGTATTTTGATTTCAGTTGTTAGTGGAATGGACGAGATAAGCTTGAAAATGAAATTTAGGGGCCAAAAGATAAGTATATCTATTTGTGCAAATTTGATTGGCTTTCTTTTACATATGAAATGTGTTTTACACATGACTATTTTTACATCTTCTTGTGTTTCTTAGTTGTTATGATCATTGTTTCTATTATTTTCAATTCTCAACACTCATTATCTTACTTTTTGCATTTCATTTTTCGTTATTGTTTTCATGTTTTACACAACCTATAATTACAAAAGATTTCTTTGATTATATGTGCTTTGTTTACTTTTTTAGCTTGTCGGTTTATAGTTAGGGGTTGGGAATTAGGGCTTAGGGAGTAGGGGTTTGAGATTAGGGATTAGCAATTAGGGCTTTAGAAATTAGGGAAATGTGAAATGTGTTTTGCACATGACTATTTCTACATCTTCTTGTGTTTCTTATTTGTTATGATCATTGTTTCTATTATTTTCAATTCCTAACACTCTCATTATTCCATTGTTTGTTTTTCATTATTCGTTATTGTTTTCATGTTTTACACAACCAATAATTGCATAGCATTTGTTTTATTATATGTGTTTTGTTTGCTTATCTATTAGATTAATTATGTTTTATTTCCTTTTTTTGGATTGTCGGTTTACAGTTAGGGGTTGGGGTTGGGGATTGGGGCTTAGGGAGTAGGGATTTGGGCTATAGAGATAAGGGATTAGGGGTTCGGGATTTGGGTTTATTGTTGTTTTGCTTCTTTTGCTCCTCCTCCTCATCATTTTTATCCTATTTTTTTTCTTTTATTGTTTCTGACATGTTTTGGATTTTCATTTTTATTTGCGTAACTAATCTAATGTGTATTTTGATTTCAGTTGTTAGTGGAATTGACGAGATAAGTTTGCAAGCGGAGTTTAGGAGCGAAAAGATAAGTATATCCATTTGTACTAATTTGATTGCCGTTCTTTTACATGTGAACTGTGTTTTACACATGACTATTTGTACATATTCTTGTGTTTCTTACTTGTTATGATCATTGTTTCTATTATTTTCAATTCCGGACACTCTCATTAACCCACTGTTTGTTGTTTATTTTTCGTTATTGATTTCATGTTTTGCACCACCTATTATTGCATAGTATTTTTTTGATTATATGTGCTTTGTTTGCTTTTCTATATGTTTAATTATGTTTTGTTTCCTTTTTTCAGCTTGTCAGTTTGTAGTTAGGGGTTGGGAATTAGGGCGTGGGGAGTAGGGGTTTTGAGATTTGGGATTAGCGATTAGGGCTTTAGAGATTAGGGATTAGTGATTACGGAATAGGGGTTAGGAATTTGAGTTTATTGTTCTTTTGCTTCTTTTGCTCCACCTCCTCTTCATTTTTATCCTATTTTTTTATTTTATCGTTTTTGTTATGTTTTGGATTTTCATTTTTATGTGCGTAACTAATCTAATGTATACTTTGATTACAGTTGTTAAGGGAATGAACGAGATAAGCTTGAAAGCGGAGTTTAAGAGTGAAAAGATAAGTATATCTCTTTGTGCAAATTTGATTGACTTTTTTTTACATATGAAATGTGTTTTACACATGACTATTTTTTGATCTTCTTGTGTTTCTTACTTGTTATGACGATTGTTTCTATTATTTTCAATTTCGGACACTCTCATTAACCCGCTGTTAGTTTTTCATTTTTCGTTATTGTTTTCATGCTTTGTACAACCTATAATTGCATAACATTTGTTTGATTATATGTGTTTTGTTTGATTTTCTAGTAGTTTAATAATGTTTTGTTTTCTTTTTTTTGGTTGTTGGTTTATAGTTAGGGGTGGGGGACTAGAGTTTACGGAGTAGGATTTGGGATTAGGGATTAGAGATTAGGGATTAAGAATTAGGGATTAGGACTAGGGATTAGGGATTAGGGATTAGGGATTAGGGATTAGGGATTACGAATTATGGATTTGGGGTTCGGGATTTGGGTTTATTGTTGTTGTGCTTCTTTTGCTCCTCCTCCTCATCATTTTTATCCAATTTTTTTCTTTTATTGTTTCTGATATGTTTTGGATTTTTATTTTTATGTGTGTAACTAATCTAATGTGTATTGTAATTTCAGTTGTTAGTGGAATGGACGAGATAAGATTGCAAACGGAGTTTAGGAGCGAAAAGATAAGTATATCTATTTATGCAAATTTAATTGCCTTTCTTTTACATGTGAAATTTTTTATGCACATGACTATTTCTACATCTTTTTGTGTTTCTTACTTGTTATGGTCATTGTTTCTATTATTTTGCAATTCCGGGCATTCTTATTAAACCACTATTTACTTTTCATTTTTCGTTATTGTTTTCATGTTTTGCATAATCTATAATTGCATAACATTTCTTTGATTATATGCGCTTTGTTTGCTTTTCTACTAGATTAATTATGTTTTGTTTCCTTTACTTGGGTTGTTGGTTTATAGTTAGGGGTTGGGGATTAGGGCTTAGTGAGTAGGATTTGGGATTAGGGATTAGAGATTAGGGATTAGGAGTTAGGACTTTAGAGATTAGGGATTAGGGATTAGAGATTAGGGATTAAGGATTAGAGATTAGGGATTAGGGATTAGGGATTAGAGATTAGGGATTAGGAGTTAGGACTTTAGAGATTAGGGATTAGGGATTAGAGATTACGGATTAGGGGTTAGGGGTTAGGGGTTAGGGGTTCGGGATTTGGGTTTATTGTTGTTTTGCTTCTTTTGCTCCTCCTCCTCATCATTCTTATCCTATTTTTTTTCTTTTATTGTTTCTGATATGTTTTGAATTTTCATTTTTATGTGCGTAACTAATCTAATGTGTATTGTGATTTCAGTTGTTGGTGGAATAGACGAGATAAGCTTGCAAGCGGAGTTTAGGAGCGAAAAGCTAAGTATATATCCATTTTTGCAAATTTGATTGCCTTTCTTTTATGTGTAAAATGTGTTTTACACATGACTATTTGTACATCTTCTTGTGTTTCTTATTTGTTATGATCATTTTTTCTTTATTTTTAATTTCATACACTCTCATTAACCCACTGTTTGTTGTTCATGTTTCGTTATTGTTTTCATCTTTTGCACCACCTATAATTGCATAGCATTTCTTTGATTATATGTGCTTTGTTTGCTTTTCTATTAGTTTGATTATGTTGTTTTCTTTTTTTGGGTTGTTGGTTTATAGTTAGGGGTGGGGGACTAGAGCATAGGGAGTAGGATTTCGGATTAGAGATTAGGGATTAAGGATTAGGGATTAGGACTTTGGGGATTAGGGACTGGGAATTAGGGATTAGGGGTTAGGGGTTCGGGATTTGGGTTTATTGTTGTTTTACTTCTTTTGCTCATCCTCCTCATCATTTTTATCCTATTTTTTTCTTTTATTGTTTCTTATATGTTTTGGATTTTCATTTTTATGTGCGTAACTAATCTAATGTGTATTGTGATTTCAGTTGTTAGTGGAATGGACGAGATAAGCTTGCAAACGGAGTTTAGAAGCGAAAAGATAAGTATATCTATTTATGCAAATTTGATTGCCTTTCTTTTACATGTGAAATTTGTTTTGTACATGACAATTTGTACATCTTCTTGTGTTTCTTACTTGTTATGATCATTGTTTCTATTGTTTTCAACTCCGGCCATTCTTATTAAACAACTTTTTGCTTTTCATTTTTGTTATTGTTTTAATGTTTTATATTACCTATAATTGTATAACATATCTTTGATTATATGTGTTTTGTTTGCTTTTCTATTCGATTATTTATGTTTTGTTTCCTTTCTTTGGGTTGTTGGTTTATAGTTAGTGGTTGAGAATTAGGGCTTAGTGAATAGGATTTGGGATTAGGGGTTAGGGATTAGGAGTTAGGACTTTAGAGATTAGGGATTAGGGGTTTGGGATTCGGGATTTGGGATTGTTGTTGTTTTGCTTCTCCTCCTCATCATTTTTATCCTTTTTTTTTTCTTTTATTGTTTCTGATATGTTTTGGATTTTCAGTTTTATGTGCGTAACTAATCTAATGTGTATTGTGATTTTCAGTTATATGGGCATTCTTATTAAACCACTATTTACTTTTCATTTTTCGTTATTGTTTTCATGTTTTGCATAATCTATAATTGCATAATATTTCTTTGATTATATGCGCTTTGTTTGCTTTTCTATTAGATTAATTATGTTTTGTTTTCTTAATTTGGGTTGTTGGCTTATAGTTAGGGGTTGGGGATTAGGGCTTAGTGAGGAGGATTTGGGATTTTGGATTAGGAATTAGGGATTAGGGATTAGGGATTAGGAATTAGAGATTAGGGATTAGGGATTAGGGTTAGGGGTTAGGGGTTAGGGGTTAGGGGTTCGGGATTTGGGTTTATTGTTGTTTTGCTTCTTTTGCTCCTCCTCCTCATCATTCTTATCCTATTTTTTTTCTTTTATTGTTTCTGATATGTTTTGGATTT